TTCTATGATAATCCTATCGAAACACGTGATGTAAAATAGATATATAGGACAAAATGGCGTCTTAAATGGCCCCCTTGACCAATTTCAAAAATCCGGCCAAGAGGTGCCCTGCGTATTGGAACTCGGCATGTCACTGCAAATTTTCAAGGAAAAAAAAGGACGTTTAAGGGGCGAAAAGCAGTCTGAAAACATGACGTCATAGCCGAAACGTGTTAGGTTCAGGCGGAAACTCGGCGGAATTCGTGTAGTGATCTTTGTTCAAATGCGATTTACTCACAATTTTCTGTGTGAACATATATAATACTTGGTATCACCCGAAAGGGCACTTCATTGCGGTCAGTTTGACACCATTGTTAACTATTGCGCGCATTGAACGCGCTATTACGTAATCCATAGTAAATTCATCACTTTTGGCGATAACTTTGCGCTGACATATTCGAATTTTACCAAACTTAATAAACAGTTGTCACGTATATGGATACATATGTCTGCAAAGTTTCATTGATGTAGGTATAACGATCGCCATTTTAGAGCAAGTTGAAGTTATTTCTCAATTTTCTTGAAAATGGCGAATTTGGAGGGCAATTTGGTCAGTGATAGGGTATATAATTTTGTATATGGCTGGAAAGGGCATATCTTCAAGTATCTAAATCCAAAAAAGGGTACGCGGGTTTGCCAAGCCATAATGGAGATATGGCCACAGAAAGAAAGCCAATTCCCAGAACTTTAGAGGGCGCTATTTATGTTTTGCATAGCCAATGGAGCATGAAATTTGGCATGGCTATGTGCAATTGTGAGATAAAGATACAGTGAGATTTAAATACAAAACGGAATTTATATGTGAAAGTTATGGCAGTTTTAGATTATTTAGGGGTCCATTTTTCAAGAATTTGAGAGATTTTTGACGGAGTCGGTTTCAGATTTAAATTTTGAGTACGAAGATGGCATTTTGAAGGGCAGGTTATTCGTCGCAGATTAAAGAACATTTCTTAGACTATCTAGAGGAATTTGTTAGAAGGATGTAGGATCTAGGATAGTGGAGACAGGAAGAATCAAAGAAAGGCCTTAAAATGGACCAGAAACGGACAAAATGGCGCCTGGACGGTTATGCATGAGTGATTTCGAGAATCGAAGAATGTAGTGACCTTGATGAGATGTTAGAGACTATGCCTATGAAATTTGAAAGGAAAAGGACATGAGGAAAGCACCTAACTAGGAATAACAAGCACTACGTGCAAAACGAATGGGATTCCGGACGACAAGAAGAAGAAGAGGAAGAGGAAGAAGAAGTAAGAATATTAATAAGAAGAATGTGAACGAAAACAAGGCAATGACGAAGGTTCGTCATTGCAATAATGATGAGGATTATTATTATCATCATCATAATTATTATTATTATTATTAATATTATAATTGTTATCATTATTATTATTACTATTATTATCATCATTATGACTTATTAAATAAGCAAATATCATTCCCCAAAACCTGGGGGGGGGGGGATGATTGTACATGCCATCCCCCCACCTTGTGAGGTGGGGGGGGGGGTGCATCCCCCTCATCCCCCGTTGTCTACGCCCCTGCCTCTGCATGACTTTAAAAATTTGCCCTGCGTAATTGTCCTTACTTAAGGCACACTCAATGTCTTACTTTCTCTTTGTCTAGTCTCATATTTGTGCTCTATGAAACAGTAATACTGAATTATGGATTGCTGCAATTTATAATTCAATAATTGATACATAAAAAGACAAATAGATAGTTTATGGAGTTGATACACATTTAATAATTTTATCTCCCTAAATATCGGTTGTGAGTGAGTCCTAAATGGACTAAACGTTATAACTCGTTTTGCCATCCTTTGGCTTAATAATAAACACTTCATGTTTATTTCAAAATTACTTCCCCAAACCTCAATTCCGTAGGTCATATGCGGTTGAATGAACGTTGTGTACAGTAACATTAAAACACACTTTGGCCCAAACTGTCTTAATCTATATAAAACACCAACCTTTTTCCTAATACACTTATTAACCCTTTCGATATGAGGTTTCCATGTCAAGTGTTGATCTATATAAATTCCTTCAAATTATGCAACATCAACCCGGACTATTGCAGCCTCTGCTATTTTTTTAATAAAAACTTGAGTTACTACTGATTGCCTACTCCCTTCTTTTAACAAATTAATTAGTCTTTAAGAGATTCAATGTAAGTTTATTCAACTTACACCATATGGTCACCTTATCAAGATGCATTTTACCACTGTATACATATCAATCATATTCAGTCTCGGTGGAAATGTATGAAACGAGTTAGAATCATCGGCAAAAAGTCTAAAAATTGAAATTATTTGTTGAGTTTGGCAAATCATTTATATACATAAAAAACAGTGTAGGTCCCAAAACGGAACCCTGAGGAACGCCACATGTTTTTATCTGTCTTAATGAGCTATGTCCATCATAATTCACAAACTGAAATCTACTAAAAAGATAATCTTTAAACCACTGAAGAGGCAGGCCCCTTATTCCTTAATGTTGTAATATACCAGCCAATATTGCGTGATCAATTATTGTATCAAAATCTTTCTGGAAATCTAGGAATACACCTAGTGTTACACTGCCCTTATCCAGTGATTTAAACATATCATTAACTAAATTAATCAAAAACAACTTAGAACTATAATGTTAACTAAAACCATACTGCCAAGTCTTCAGCATTTCATAAATGGTTGCATTTTCCGTATTAATTTGGCCCTATCATACCTATCATACAAAAATCTTCCCACACTCTCTCCTTTTTCTCTCTCCCTCTATCTTCTTTTCTTTTACCTTCTTATCCGTTTATTTGCTTTTTCTTTCGTCGCTCTCTTTTTCCTCCCTTTTCTTTTTTGTAGGCCGCAAAATGGAGGAGGGGTCGCGGGCGATTCACCCCCTCCCCCTCATCCTCCATTGAGTTATAAATGTATGCACAACACGCATAGCTTACAGTGTGGTGGGGTTTCGATCCCATCCTATACGCTCTTGTCAGACCGACTGATACTATTTTGTTCATTTCTTGTTTCTCCTTCTCTCTCTCTCTCTCTCTCTCTCTCTCTCCTTTTCCTCTCTCTTTCTCTTTTACCTTCTTTTCTCTTTCTTTCCCCCCCCCTTCACTCTGTCTTCCTCTCTCACTCCCCTTTTATAGGCCGCCAAAAGGGGGACGGCAGCCGCTTCGGCCCCCACGTACATGTTGAGCCTTCAAAGATGCCAAAATAAATTTGCCCGCATCATTTTTAATGCCAAATATTATACCCATACAGTCAAACAATGCTCTTAAACGTCATTCAATCGACACTAGACTAAACCTCCAATATTGTATGTTCATGTTTATATTAGTAAATGTCCTCACCCCTAGCAGACTCATATTGCGCAATCAAAATGCCCCTATTAGACAAGTTCTTTATAACCAACTGTAACTACCTAAACATACGACATAATCTTTCTTATACTGTGTAATATAACTGTATAACTCACATTCAATGTTCTTTCAAACATCCCCTTCCCTACAAAGTTTTAAAACCCACCTAAGACCTTTCGCATCCATCTCTTGATTTTAATATTATATATGTAACTTATAACCATTAAACTAATTTTACTGTAATGTATTTATTTTCAGGTGGGCTGTATAACGTACAGACCACCTTATAATTTCGTTAGAATTGCCTTTATTTATTTATTTATTATTAAATATTTTTCTTATTTCTAACCACTTTTTTGTTAGCAAGATAACTTGAAAATGGCTCGATCAAATGCCTTGAAATTTGGCACACATATGTATAGGCATATGTACAAAGCACAATAACGTTTTCAACATTGACCTTCACTGATGACGTCATCTAGGCACCATTTTGTAAAAATCAACTCATGATCATATCTTCATAACCAAAAGCTATTTCTCATTCATATTTATCATGATCGAGGTCAATATCCGTCCGGTCAATTTCAGGTCAAATAACGCGCACGTGCGCGTACGTCCGCGCGTCAATGCGCGCGCAAAATTGTAAAATGCTCAAAATCGTCTCAAAATCATTTTGCATACGTTTTAGGCCATTCTAAGCATTTTATAAAAAATCGCGCACGCGCGCATGCGCGCGCGTTTTCGCGCGTAAAACTATTACACAACATAGAATCGCCATTTTTTTTCTTTCATAATATTGCACATATTTTTACAAACAAATTGATACCATGTTTACTATTAATAACGGAATGATCCCCCGTTTAACATAAATTTCCGTGCGCGCGAGCTCTTGTAATACATATCATAAATGGGCAAAAAGATGCCTATACAAAATCCATTGTAGCTCTTTAGGATGCAAGGTGACCCGAATTTTTTTCTTCTTATTGTGATAGAATATTAATTGGAGATATGATTTCAAGTCTCATTTGACCCTTACTTTTCTCATGACGTCATCATAATGGCCTCCGAACTCATAATTTCAATTTGCATATTATGATGTCAGTATATTTTTCAAAAATTGATTGCATCTCTGTAAATATTGATCGATTTTCTTCCAAATTTCGATATGTTCTAGCTGAGACAATTCGTTACAAATGTAGTTAACAACATTTTTCATTTTTGACAAAGGAATCATGGCGTATTTTTGCGATTAAAGGAGGCATGTCAATTTTTCACTTTTTGCGTGTATTCTCTATGGGACATGACTTTTTCTCAAAACTGGATTCTACATTCCCGTCTTTCGCGAGCAATATCTCCGTCGTTTTAGCTTCGTTTAAGCTGAACTTTGAGTATGATGTAGCTGAGACAAAGAGCTATCTCAAATGTACCCTTCATTTTGTCTAAAATTTTAGTTGGACCAGCCCACCTATACTTGTTCCAAACAAGTATTACAAATCTAGTTTCTTTTCCTTTTGCTTTGTAAAAATCACATATCTTTGGTTTGTGTTTTCGTTTCATTTAAAGCTGTTATTATCATTACCATGTAGTTTATATTTTTTTATATTTCATGTTGAATTATCTTGTTCATAGCACTGCTGCCTAATGAAACAGGCCTTCTTTGGTACTGAATGGAACTACCCTGCCGATCAAAGATAACAAAATACAAGAATAAATATATAAATATGCACATAATTGTCTTCTTATGCAATGTATCGTTTCACAGGGGCAGGTTTGGTTTTCTGCAATGACACACGACTGATGCCAGAAGGGACATTCCCACCTATAGCGCTGGCCAGCTTTCCCGGGTCAGGTAATACGTGGGTTAGACATCTCATACAGACTGCAACTGGTTATGCCACAGGAAGTGCGTATACGAGTAAAAGACTTCTTAGCCGAGGTACGAATAACAATTACTTTTCCCTCTCCCGCCAATTAGCTCTTAGGCCTGACGTCATCAGCTCGAGTTTGCCAAACAACCTGACATTTTCAGACTCGGGATATTATCCCGAAGCTCGGAATGGCGCCTTCACAGTTGTCCATGAATCGGTTTCCTCTATATAATTCTATAGAACAAGTTTTCTTATGCATATTCATGATAATTTTCATGTTTTCACAGAAAATGTAATTATCATGATCTGTCAAGCAAATATGACAATTAACTTTATTTTTGTGATTTACATTTTCTTAGTCAGTCTTTGACAAATATATTATATATTTCCGATTTTGTTTTACATGTAATTTAAGACGTAAAATATGTATTTTACTAACAGTAAACCCATTTATAATTTTTTATACATATGTATGTAAGATCTCAGCGCTACTTATTTAACATTATACTCAACTGTATTTTGCTTCAAATGATCTTTGTGATGGGGCAATTGCAGGAGTATATATAAATCTGGTTTAGTCGGTGGCCAGATGCCATGCAATATTGATTATTATTATCAATTGATTGCTGGTCGCTACTAAATAATCAACTGATTTTCAACTGGTAAAAAATGGTCTATAGAATTCTATTTTTTAAAAAATCTATAGAATTTCTATAGGCCATTCTATGGAATGTTTCATAGAGATTCTATAGAGGTCCGTTATAGATTTCTATAGAATTCGTATAGAAAAGTGGCCCACTTTTCTATAGAATCTCTATAAAACATTTTTTATAGAATTGCGTATAGAAATTCTATAGAATTTTTTTAATAACATTCTATAGAACTTTTTTGTAAGGGTTTACTGCAAAAAAAATAGCAGATTATCATCTAAATGTGGATGTTGAAGCCTACAGAAGTATGGAATCAGTCATATTATTTTCAGGTGGAAAAGTGTAGTGAGCAAAGAATAATATTGAGGAAATTGAGACACGTTGTCTCATTTGGGCAATAGAAGAGTCGAGTATTTCAGTAAATATGATTTTCAATTTCTGCAGGTCGACGCTATATTTGCTAGCCAAAAAAGCCTTCTACTGGAGGAATTTTGTAAAAGCCTACTCTTGAAATGCGATTCCGTTACTAGACTTCGCAAAATCTGCTGAATGGTTTACAGAAATAAATGCTTTCCATTAATTTTCAACCAACTCATGACAGGTTTTATAGGCGAAGGGCAACCAGCTCTTTCAGGCAGGGCTCTGACAATCAAGACACACAGTTCAATAAGAATACGGTCGGTGCCATTTTACTTTTACGCAATCCATATCGAGCGATGGTGTCTGAGTATAATAGACGGGAAGCTGGCAAGACGGGACATGCCCGTGAAAAAACATTCAAAACAGCAGGTAATTCGTCCACTACTACTATTACTACTACTTCTACTACTACTACTTCTTCTCCTTCTTACTACTGATACTACTACTATTTCTACTATATATTAACTACGACCACTACTAATGCTATTATAGTACAACTGCTCCTGCTATTATATGTACTACTATTACTACTACTACTTTACTACAGCTACCACCATTACTTCTACTAATGTTCTTTGGAAAGACATTGATCTACATTTGGCCACACTCCACCCAGGTGAAGTAAATGGGTACCTGGTAGGAATTTATTCCTTGAAACGCAGCGCGCGTAACAGCTGCACTGCTAAAGCCAGGGTAATTATGCTGCATTATTGTAGAGCGCTTAGAGACTTCTGACAAAGTAAGTGTTAGGCGCTATATAAGCACTGTAATTATTATTATTATTATTATTATTATTATTATTATTATTATTATTATTATTATTATTATTATTACTACTAATATTATTTCTCCTACTCGTTCGTTCGTGTCTCCTTAGATCAAGATAAATGTAATCTTGATCTTCGGAGTAGTTGCTACAACCGGCCGTGTCAGACACGTTGCCCCGGGGTGCGAGATAGGACTCTTGCAGCGTGCCCCCATTTAAAACAATTATACAATAACAGTTAACATTACATTTAATTAATAGTATGAAACTTTTAAAATTACTCTCATGTTACGGAAACAAATATTATATATATTTATTATGAATCAATTGATTTGGTCGATCCAGTTCGATGACACAAACACGGCACTACTGGACAGAGATCCTAATCATTACAGAGCTTGGTCTTGCTGCTCTGTTCGACAGATTTCTCCTACTGCACTAGAGGGAGTCAGATACTTCCATTCTTACTACTAATACTACTTCTATTATCTATTACTAGTACTACTAAAGTACTACAACCCATTTTCCTTCAACTACGACTGTCTTACTACTATTGTACTACTACTACTACTGCTTCTAAAACTACTACTACGACTACTACTACTACACTGTACAAAAATAATAGTCGAAATAACTCAATAAAATTGAGGAAAAGAATTGCCTTATTTTTATTAAGTAAATATTACCTACGGCATCTTAAGTAGAATTTACTTATTTTGCTGAATAAATTTTTACTCAGTTAAATCGAGTTACATTAACGTAAATAATTTAAGTATTTTAATCATTTTAGATAATTAAAAAAAAAGCTATGATAGGATTACATATTGCACGATTTGGTACCCATTTAATCTAACAAGTAACATCCACTAATCATTCACTACTTCTTTAAGATTGATCACTAATCACTAACACTACTTCTATTTAAGATTAAGATTCGACACATATTGAAAGGCTCCAAATGTTATATATACTTGATCGAAGCATCTTAAAAGGAAAATTGGTTGACAATTTCCTGAAATTTCAAGTTTTGATTTGTTTTGAACTGGGTAACAATTAAAAATTGTCTTGTCTTTGCTTAGCCATGTTTAATGAATTAGTAAATGTTTTAAAGTCCTTAAATTTTCATTCTACCACAAAAAAGAATTGTTTTATTTAAAAAAGAGTTTAATTTGGTCTTAATGAATATTCATAAATTATGTAAATATTTCTATTACGCACTGCATCGGTCCTTACTTTAAAAAGATAAGAATAGTCAACATAAATTGTTTGAGTAATACGTATAATTTCTGATTTTGAGTTAAAATTACTAAATTAATACAAGCTGAAATTACTTAAAGTTCTTATGTATTTGATATTACTTAAATATTCCACGTATGTTCTACTAAATTAAAAGTTTGAGTTAGCAAGACTTAAATTTAGTGCGTAAGTGGCAAAACTAATGTTTTTTAAGTAAATTATACATGGAAAAAATACGTAAAAATTACCAATGAACAAATTATTTTTTACAGTGTACTACTACTGTACTACTACTCCTCCTAAAACTAAGTACTACTACTCCTAATCTTTTATTACTACTGCTACTAATATTGTACTACTACTACTACTACTCCTGTTGTACTACTACTACTACGACTGCTTCTAAAACAACTACTACTACTTACTACTACTACTACTAATATTGTACTACTACTAATACTACTACTACTACTACTGCTACTACTACTACTCCTAATCCTAACACTACTACTTCTACTACTACTACTACTACTACTACTGTTATAATATTACTACTACTACTACTACTACTACTACTACTACTACTACTACTGTTATAATATTACTACTACTACTGCTGCTGCTGCTGCTCCTAAAACTCACTACTACTATTGTACTACTCCTACTACTACCTCTACTTATATTGTATTACTACTGCCACAACTACTACTGCTGCTACTAAAGCTATTCGTATAAATACTACTACTACTACTGTTGTAATAGCACTACTTCTACTGTTATACTACTACTACTACTTCTACTTCTACTACTACTATTATCAACTTCTATTATAAACTACGACTACGACGACTACTACTGCTACTATATATTACTGTTATACAACAATATCAATTACAACAACTACTAGTACTACAAATACTACTAGCGAGCTCTAGATTCTGACACCGAACGACTTCGATTACGAGTGACGTCATTGTTATGCCCGCAGTAGTTGAATCCACGTTGCTAGGGTGTTTAAACGCATGCGCAGCTTTTGTCTCGCGAATTTTCTTTGTTACGTCATATCGATATCGAATTGTAGATATCGGTACGCCTGCACAATTCATTCAATATAATTGAGATTACTGTATTTTGTACTCTGTAATTGGTTTCAATATGTTATATATTACAATTTGTATGAATTAATATTATTTATTGAGTGAATACAATAAAGAATATTACAAAACAAAAAAGCACAGCTGTTCGAACCACAAACTCCTTAATTTCGTCAAAAAAAAGTGAAATTAAATAGGCTGAAGTAACGTGAGTGATCAAATTCATAGGTATTTGATGGTTTCATTGCAATCACTTATATCTTCTTGAATCATAATCTCACCAAATATTGTAGTCTGATGGCCGGCTTCGGCATAATTTTGTGTCCAGGGCGAAGTCGTTGTGATCACTTCAAGAAAGGCCTAGAATTTGCCCGACTCCCGTTGTGTCAGACGACGAACTAGAAGCAGGTGTCGCGCGCATGCGCAGTTCCTCAAAAATGACGTCACTCGTAGTCGAGGTCGTTCGGTGTCAGAATCTAAAGCTCGATAATTATTAACTATAACTACGACGACAACTACTGCTAACATTACAAACGCTGCTGCTCCTAAATTTACTACAACAACAAGTAACACTATAATAACAACAACTACTACTACTATACTGTATATACATACGACAACAACAACGACAGCCACAAAATCACCTTCAACTTCTATTACTACTACAACTACGACGACTACTACTGCTACTTTTTGCTAGTTAAACAAAACATTATTACGGTTAATTAATAATTCCATAACAAATTACAATGATAATTATGAATATTCAATTCGCTTCTACTTTCCTATAGAGTGGCGTAAATATGTCAGCGAAAACTCTGATCGTTGGATCGGGCTATATAAACATTACATCTCCAAATGTCATCATTCGGGCAACACCTGCAAGTCGATGTTAATCGTGTATTACGAGCAACTCAAACTGCATCTCAAGGACGAACTGCGACGAATCCTTGAATACTTGCATATAACCATCGATGAAGAAAGGCTTGCATGTGCAGTTACGAATGCAGAGGGTCAGTTTCATAGACCAAAGAGAAATACAACCTTGGATCCATTCTCAAAGGAAGACAGGAGTTTGGTGGACAAATCTTTGAATTTGTATCGCGATTTGATTGACCTGGAAGGATTAGAGGAACCACCGTCATCGCTTAGTTTCATATCCGAGTGATTTATAGAGTTGAAGACCCACTAATTGAATTACATGTATTTCCTTTGTTTTGAAACTGTAAGTATTCCTGTATAATCATTCATCTTTTGACACGATGAATCATGATTATCCTTTTATACCAATTTTCTCATTATGGTATTAGCGGAAGAGCTTAGGAGTGGTACACGAACTATGTCAGATATCACAAAATATGCATTTGCTAAAGGTATTACAAAGTTTTGGTACGGGGTCATGCATTTAGTTCATATGAGCATATTGGAAGCATATGCGATCCTATAAAATTCAGTGATCGTTGTCGCGGTTTAAATCGAGTCTAAAGGTTATGAAATTTTATATTATTTATGTTGTATAGCTCCCTCTGAAGGTCAATATATTAATTAAGCTATAAAACAATGTTTCTTGACTTAAATCGACTTGACTTAAATTAGCTATTCCCGTTTGAAAATTATATATCACTACTACATAGTCTAAGAATTTCATGGTCGCAGTTACCATTTTACGGCCGTAGGCAGTATTTGAAATGTATCAAAATTTACAGGGAGCACCGGTAAATTTTTATATTCAATATTTCTCGAAAACAAAAGTGTTTTAGGGACTAAATTTTCTAGTGCTTATAATACATTCACAGGGGCATCCAAATATATTAAAATTGTAAAGAATCACTATCCACCCGGCCCAATTTTCCAATTTCCCAAAACTTTGTATTACCTTAGCTGCGAATCTCGCATGGAAGAGATAACACGTGGCGTAACACAAGGATCACTACTAGTTTCCCTACTATTCATTTGGTATATAAACAATTTAAAAACGACCTTCTAACATGTTATCATTCATTGCCATAATTGTGCATGATTATTGATCCTAACGAAGAGATTTTTGTTAATATTGTGAAGAAATACCCCCCCCTGTTTTTCCCTTAATTTTCATTTTATATTTGTCATTTAGCTATGCCAGGACTAGCCTGAATTTATCTTTAAAGAATTGTAAAAGAGAACTTATCTTTATTGAAATATGCATAGCGGATTGTTGTTTCAGTGATGGATGAAAGTAGTAAGATCAGCTGTGATTGTTTACTACAGCGATCAATGAGCGTAGTAACGGCAGCCGATTAGTGCTATTTTTTAGATTTATTCAAATACACAGAATTTGCTATGTGGGACCGGGTATCTGAAACATCGTGTGCGATGTTGAACTTATGTGAATAATTCTTTTATGTAATCACTTACCTTGTCAATGTTTCCTAAAATAGTTGCTTGGTGTCATATTTTCCCTTTTTCTGATAAGACTACTTCTTAAATAATCTAATTTAGCTCACTAAAAGTGAATTCTCCCTAATGAAAATGGAATAGCTTGTATTTTGGACTTCGCACGTAGTGACGTCACAAACTTTTGACCAATTAAAATTGCGGGAGGCTGCAGTATTTTTCTGAGGCGATTTACGGCCCGGGGCCCCAGTATAAAAGGGGATGAAAAATTACATAAATTATATTACTGCATCATCTTCCAAATTACAAGACGTCCACGAAGTTTAGTTCAAACCAAGTTCATTCAAGTTCCATTTCTAATTCCATCTCGTTTTCAGGCAAAAGAAGAGTGAGTTATAAATATTTCTAATATTCATCTCTTGGTATTTTATTGCATAATATCTATTCCTATTTTATATAAAGGGAAATTTAGAGGATTTATCCACAAAGAATATTAATGATGAATCTATTTGGGGTTAAGCCCGACTGAGAATTTGTATTTGATTGTTTGATCAATTGCTTCTTGGAGTGAGAATTATTATCGAATGTTATTATTCGCTTGCTGATTTTTATAATGTATGCGGTACACAAAGAACTAAAGAAGAGTTTTGTTTATTTCTATTCCCTTTTATTCATTACGTAATTTATCAAAAAGAACACAAAATGAAACGTCCGAATGGAGTGAAAGAAATAGGAGTGACGTAGTCACTCAAGGGTACCTCATAAATAATGAACTGTACTTGTACTATATTAGATAATAAGTAGACCTTAAAGACAGTAGAATGTAGAATTGTACTTGAAGAATTTTACTGTACGAGTTGAACAGTAACTAGAATGTTGTACTTACAAGTTATATAGTGAAGTACACTGTACAATAAGTTTTTAAGTGTAGGCCTACATCTACACTAGATAATAATTGGATTATGCTACTTATATTATTGCATGATTAGATTATAATGTTAGATTAAGAAATGGTAATGACATAAAATGTAGCTTATTATGACTTTTGGAGTTGTATTGTGCATGAATGTTACCCATGTCGTTGACAGTGAACAAGCTTATATAACGACTTTGTTAGTCTAATGTTATAGGAGATAAAATCTCGAGGCTATTACATTACAACGTAGATTCGGGGCAGGAAAGAGGCCGGGGTGGTAGAGAGCCAGGAACATAGTAGCCTATCCGATAGGCGTCGGGTTAAATGGCAAGTGTACTAATCGCGTTTGGGAGACTGACATCGGCGCGGGCGTTAGCCCGAGCGCCTATCATCACTGGTCAACTCATCATTATTCATATATGTGTATCGTATGTGTGACGAGCGTATTCTCATGCATGATTCATAAGACTAGCCTTATTTGGTGACCGATCACTTTGATTCAACCAATCAAATATCATCTCCGCGTTCCCCATCGCTCATTGGCCTATTTTTGTCCTTGCCACATAAATATTCATGAAAGAGCTTTGCAGGGGGTTCGTAGATTTTCTACGAACGAAACATGGTACATAAAAGAAAATAAAACTTTTCGCGTGTACCAGTGATGATAGGCGCTCGGGCTGACCGTGCCAATGTTACTCTCCATATAAACGCGATTAGATTACTTGTAAAGCCCGATGCATATCGGATAGGCTAGGAACATAGTAGTGGCGGAGTTGGCGGGATGCTTAGCCGGATTGAGAAGTTTTATAGGGAATGGAATGTACCGCTATGCTGGCATAGGATATTAGGGTGAGAAGAATAGAATAGAACAGAGGTCTATACTTATATATTGCTTGGATCTGTTAGTGATACTGATATTGGAAGATCAATATTCATACATTTGAGACACTTACTCTTATCCCAGTCATTTCTAGAGTAGTTGTAAACCGTAAAGTTAGTTGATGTAAAACTAATAAGTAATAAGTGTACACTGTACGCATAGTAGATTTAGTGACGATTAAATTATTGTCGCTATACACTGTACTTATTTCTAAAGGACATCCATGTAACCTAGGATCGTAGTTTAAACATGTACATGTAAATACTAAGTTATAAATAGTTATGATCGAACATGTCACTTTTACTCTTCATGCGTTTTGAATTGCTGAGTTCTACATTGTTAAAGTTGTTTACATTAATAAATGTTTTGAATTGGGTACAACCCGAACTTATGGTTTCCAAACGAGAAATTACTTAGACCTGGTTTAGTCGCACAGATGCCTGAATGAACTGAATATGATTGTTGATGTGATTGAGTAACTTAAGTAACTTAGAGAGTTCGTATATTTCGAACAAACGTTCCCGTCATCGACGCTCGACAATAGAATATTCTTACCATGCTACTCGTGAGACAGGAGGCGAGAATGAGTGGGAATCAGAAGTATGTGAGATGAGCTGAGCGTCTGTGTTATTGTTGAATGATTGAGGTTCACTGAACCACTGCCTGATTGATGGTGTTCACTGTTCATGCGCAAGTACGAGTACACTTAACAACTGCCGTTGTTAGGCCAGGTGTTCACTGTACACGTGCGCGCCCATGTACGCTGTACCTATGCAAGAGAGTGCCTGTTGTACACTGTACAGCTTGTATGTGTGCAGGCCAGAGTACACTGTACGTTGTCCTGGATGATAGCTGAGATGCATACTTGATTGAATGTTGATGTGGCCAGCCGTTAGTATTCAATTAGGCTTAGTAACTGAGATATTAGACTTAATAGTAAACTTACCAGTCATGTCCTGGATGTTTGATGTGCTGGTCAAGTGGCAAAGGTTGTCCCAATTTTTAAGAAGGGTGACCCAAAACTATTGACGAACTACCGACCCATTTCCCTATTAACAACTTTCTCTAAAATTCTTGAAAAACTTATCTATGTGAGAACTGTAAAGTTTCTCAATTCAAGTAAAATATTTTCCAACTTTCAATTTGGCTTCCGTGAGAAACATACTACCACCCATGCTATACTGCACTTTATCAATAAAGTTTCTTATGCTATGGACAACCACATGCACACACTTGGAATATTCTTGGATTACTCTAAGGCATTTGATACAGTAGATCACAAAATATTGTTATGTAAATTATCCCATTACGGGGTCAGGGGTGCTGCCCTGGATTGGTTCAGGAGCTATTTAGCTGACAGACAGCAATTCGTATCCATAAATGGTTTTGATTCAGAGTTACAAAATGTCAGCTGTGGAGTCCCACAGGGATCACTTCTTGGTCCTCTTTTATTTATTCTTTATATAAATGATTTTCAATATTCTTCTGATGTATTATCCTTTATTTTGTTTGCAGATGATTCAAGCATATTTTTTTCACACAAAGATGCACAAGTTCTTGTGCAAACAGTTAACTCAGAGTTGCGCAATATTACCTCATGGATTCATGCTAATAAACTGTCTCTTAATCTTACAAAAACCAATTATATGATATATAGCAATTCGCTCAAGATGTTGCCCGGTGACATTATGTTCAATGGTGTTCTGATAGACAGGGTAACATCAACTAAATTTTTAGGTCTTTATATCGACGAACAATTGAAGTGGAAAACTCATGTAAATAATCTATGCAAAATATTATCAAGGAATACTGGTGTAATTCGTAGGTTGAAGTCTACTTTTCCTAAAAGCATATTACTAATCTTGTATTCAACTTTAATTCTACCTTATATTAATTATGGTGTGCTTGCTTGGGGCAAATCTCTAATAACACAATTAGATAAAATATTCTTGGCTCAAAAGAGGGTAATAAGAACAATCTGTAATGCTGACTTTCGTGCTCATACAAATCCTCTTTTTTATCATCATAGGATTTTAAAGGTAGAAGATATTTATTATATGCAATTGGGTTCCTTAATGTATGATCTCAACTCAAGTGTACTGCCACTGGCATTAGCCAAGATTTTCAAGAGAAACAATCAAATTCACAATTATGCCACAAGAGGTGCTTCTGCATTCCACTTACCCCATGCAAGGACAAAGTTTACTCTCAACACTTTAGTTTGCACTGGACCAAGGTTTTGGAACACTCTTGACTCAAGCATTAGCCATTCTGTCAGTATATCTGTCTTCAAACGTAAACTGAAATTGTACTTATTGAATAATTACTTAGTTGTTTCTTAATCTGTAGTGTCGTGATTTATATTTGAACTTAATCCATTCCCCAATTTACTACTGTATAGCAACTGCCGACTTACCTTTTCCTTTTTCTTTCCTTTCTCGCCTGTAGCTAGCTTTCAGTTTACAGTGAAAGTATATATATATTTTTTGTTTTTCTTTCTCCCCCCACTCGAGCTCTCCCTCTCTTTCCCACTCCCGCCCCCTCTCTTCATTTCTATATCCCACATTATTATCACTCTTATCTCCCCCTTTTGTACATAGTCTCTTCTCCCCACCCATTTTTATTACTCAGTTAAACCATGTGTATAATCATATGGTTATTGTTTATAGTTATTTGTTTTAGTACTTTAGCGCCTTTGACGAACATTTCTTGTATTAATCTATTATATAACCAGGCTGTTTTTGTTGTTTATGTTATTGTTTTTGAGGGACCTGACCTCTACAAGCTAAGCTTTAATTAGGTCTCCTCGTCTTTTCTTTTTTTGTTTTCTCATGTAAATGCATTGTGTGAACTTGATTCTTATAAATGTTCCTCTTATATTCTTTGCATGTTATACATTTGTTAAATTGTATTACATTTATGTTGGAAGAAAGACAAATAAACTTGATTAGGTGGTCAGTCCGGTAGAGAGCAGTCGAGCAGTCAGATGTATGGAAGCAGGAGACCGTCAAAACATGGATATACGTCGTGTCGTAATTCGAATTGCCACACTACCTAAATAATTACGTCGTGTAGTAATTTGAATTGCCACACTACCCCCGGCCCCCCCCCCCCCACTCAGTGTTATTTAGGGTACGCATATGCTCGTATACCCTCTTTAGTGAAAGCACCCCCTATCTGAGGACTGCCAACATTTCCGAACCCCCCTTTCGCGGGCTTTTCCTCAGCCTTGGAGACCCCCCTAAATCAGGAAAAATGCTCAATGTACCCCCTTAAATTCGGAATAATTTCTCAGGAGTCCAAAAACATGAGAGAAAAAAAGAAAAACACCCCCTTTTTAAAGAAATCTCCGGGTGAAAAGTCAAATACACCCCTTTTTTTACAATTCTCGGGCCGGACTTTGTCGCACGAAAAGTACCCCTTTACCGGACATTTTGGCAACACGCATGCGGTCATTCTGACCTCTGAGTGGGGGGGGGGGGGGCGGGACACTACCTAAATAATTACGTCGTTTCGTTATTCGAATTGCTACACGACGTAATTCCGAATTACTGCCCAACGATTTAACGTCATGACGTTAAATGAATTAACTACACGACATTAAATAATTAAGGTCGTGTAGCAATTCAAATTACTACACGACCTAAATAATTACGTCGTGTAGTTAATTCATTTAACGTCGTATAGTTAAATCAACCAATGAGACCGTTCGTAATATATCAGATGCGAAGAACGGCCACTACAAAAGCGCACGAACGCGCATCGTATACATATTTCTGGCGCGCAATTATGATCTTCGCAACGCATATATTACGAACGGTCTCATTGGTTGATTTAACTACACGACGTTAAATGAATTAACTACACAACGTTAATTGATTTAACTACACGACGTTAAATCGTTGAGCAGTAATTAATTACAACACGACGTAATTATTTAGGTCGTGTGGAGATTGCAAAGAGATCAAGCAATGTATGTGAAATACAAACAGGGCATAGAGGATCTCCTCAGGAAAGGCTATGCAGAGGAAGTTAGTGAGGAGACTAGGCAACCCAAGGACACCCCTGTTTGGTATTTGCCCCACCATCCAGTCTTGAATCCCCAAAAACCAGACAAGATGCGAATCGTGTTCGATTGTGCGGCCAAGCACCAAGGGGTATCTTTGAATGATGCAGTGTTACAGGGGCCGGACCTTATCAACAATTTGATGGGAGTTTTGCTTAGATTCCGCCAGCAACCAGTAGCACTCATGTCAGATATAGAGGCAATGTTCCACCAAGTGAGGGTACCTCCAGAAGATCGAGACGTGTTGAGATTCTTGTGGTGGAAGGACGGAGACTTCAACAAGGAACCGCTGGTCTACCGGATGTGCGTCCACCTCTTCGGAGGTACGTGGAGCCCAAGTGTGTGCAGCCATGCACTTCGTCAGACAGCAAGAAACGGTGATGGTAATGGTAAAGTGGAAGCATCTAAGGCCATTCTCAAGAACTTCTATGTGGACGACTGCCTGGTGTCAGTTGAGAATGAAGAAACAGCGGTGAAACTTGCTGCGGACTTAATGGTCTTGCTCAGTGAAGGAGGCTTCAGATTAACCAAATGGGTCAGTAACAACCCATTTGTCCTGCAATCCATACCAGAAGAAGAGAGAGCTAAAGATGTGAGGGGTCTGGATCTCAATCATGATGCTCTTCCAGTCGAGAGAGCACTTGGAATCAGCTGGGATGTAGAAACTGATTGTTTGCTGTACAAACTTAGACCCAAGGACAAACCCCAAACCAGGAGGGGTATCTTGAGTGTTGTATCTTCCATCTACGACCCTCTCGGTTACGCCAGTCCTTTCATCCTAAAGGCTAAGATGATCTTGCAGGAACTAACCAGACTTAAACTTGCATGGGATGAGGAGATTCCAAGCAAGGAAATAGAGAGATGGAATGAATGGTTACAGGAACTACCCAAGATGACTGAATTCCAGGTCAACAGATGCATCAAACCACATGACTTTGGCAAGGTAGCAGAGTATAAGCTACATCACTTTGCAGATGCTTCAGAGAAAGCCTATGGAGTCGTTTCCTACCTGCGGATGAAGGATGTTGAGGGTCAGGTGCACTGCAGCATACTATTTGCAAGGTCACGTCTTGCACCCCTGAAGAGGATGACAATCCCACGGCTTGAACTGATGGCGGCTACACTCTCTGTCACTATAGACAGTATGATACAACGGGAACTGGATCTGCCGCTCCAAGAGTCAGTGTTTTGGACTGACAGTTCAATAGTACTTCATTATGTGAAGAATGAGGATAAACGTTTCCATACGTTTGTAGCAAACAGAATTACAACCATTCATGAGGGATCTGAACCAAGGCAGTGGCGACATGTTAACACTGATGTCAATCCAGCCGATGATGCCTCGCGTGGACTGACAGCTGAGGAATTGACTGGACGATGGAAAGAAGGGCCAAAATTTTTGTGGTCAGAAGAATGCGATTGGCCTAAAAGCTTGACAGTGAATGAGTCTAGCTTAGAGCATGACCCAGAGGTAAAGCAAGACAAGACTGGAGTGTTTGCTGCAGCCGAATCTGAAGTCAAGGCGACAGATAGACTCCTTGAAAGTTACTCGTCCTGGTTCCGGCTGAAGAAAGGTATTGCATGGATCCTGAAGGTCAAGGAGTGCTTGAGAAGAAAGGCACGCAAAGATATGAATTTACTGGATATGAAGCAGCCAGTAACAGTTGATGAGATGACTGTAGCTGAAGAAGCAATTGTCAGATACGTTCAGCAACAGACCTATGCTGAGGAGTACAGAGTCTTACAGCAAAATAAGACTACACAACGGTCACCCACTCGAATAGCAAAATCCAGCCCACTATCTAAATTGAGCGTGAAACTCACAGACGAAGGATTGATATGTGTTGGAGGAAGACTACACAATGCACCACTAGAAGAGCAGACAAAACACCCAGTGATTTTGCCTTCCAAGCATCATGTAGTACAGCTTTTGGTGAGACATTACCACATTATGTGTGGTCACTCAGGGAAGGAGTATGTGCTATCCCTACTCAGACAACGATTTTGGATAATCAGAGGGAGGTTAGCAGTTCGTCATGTACTACACAAGTGTTTCACATGTAAACGTCAACGTGCAAAACCAGTGGAACAGAAGATGGCAGATTTGCCGGCAGATAGAGTGGTACCAGAAAAACCTCCATTCAGTAACGTGGGAGTTGACTGCTTTGGCCCATACATGGTGAGACAAGGAAGGAGCTCTGTGAAGAGATATGGATGTATATTCACTTGTCTGGTTATAAGAGCAATACACATAGAGGTACTGCATTCATTGGAGACGGATTCATTTCTGAATGCCCTTCACAGATTTATTTCACGCAGAGGACAACCAGAGATTATCAGATCCGACAATGGTACAAATTTCATAGGTGCTGAACGTGAACTGAGGGAGGGATTGAAACGATGGAACCAGGAGAAGATCCACGATAATCTCCTTCAACAAGGAGTTGATTGGAAATTCAATCCACCGAGAGCATCCCATATGGGTGGATCATGGGAAAGACAAATCAGAACTACGAGAAAGGTCTTGAATGCAGTCATGAAGCAGCAGGTTCTGAATGATGAGGGCTTAACGACTCTTATGTGTCTAGTAGAGGCAATTATCAATGGGCGTCCACTCTCCATAACATCTGATGACGCAAGGGATGCAGAGCCTCTCACACCAAATCATCTGCTGCTCCTGAGGTCAAAAAATGCTCTACCACCTGATGTGTTCCAGAAACATGATCTGTATGGACGTCGACGCTGGCGGCAGATTCAATACCTGGCAGACTTATTTTGGCGCAGGTGGGTGAAGGAATACCTACCTTCCTTACAACAGCGGCAGAAGTGGCTGAAAGAGACGAGAAATCTGGAGGAAGGTGACATCGTGCTGATTATCGACAATCTGCCGAGGAACAAGTGGTTGACGGGAAGAGTAATCGAAACCTATCCTGGGAAGGACAAGCTCGTCCGATCGGTGAAGCTGAAACATAGCACCGGTATCCTAGTCAGGCCTGTGCAGAAACTATGTCTTTTGGAAGAAGCAGATAGCGTATTGGTGAACCACAGCGACTAATTGGAGCATTCATTTCTTATGTGAGATAATTATATTGATGCACGGTGAATTAAACGTGCGAGGTGAGAGCCTAGCGCCGCCTCTTGTGAATTTTTGTGTCGCAATTTTCCTGATCCATGACGAGCGTAAGATCCTGATCATCATGTTTCAGTTTTGGAAGAAGCAAAGAGCGTAAATTGGTGAACCGTGGAGAGCGATCTCAATTTAAATGGATCCACAGCGAAGAACGACTAAATTGGAGCATTAGTTTCTTATGTGAGATAATTATATTTGATGCACGATGAATTAAACGTGCGAGGTGAGAGCCTAGCGCCGCCTCTTGTGAATTTTTTATGTCGCGATTATCCTGATCCGTGACAAGCGAAAGATCCTGATCATCATATTCAAGTTAGACTGACGTCGACGCAAGACAGAACTCGTTTACAGCAACAAACTTGTTTAAGCGCAAGAAATTGATAAAAACAGTCCTCAGACTTTATACAAGACTTTTTGCGGTAACATTGTGCCCTTGAGGTAAATCGGGCACGTTATATTTGAGGACAGTGAACTCTACTCTTGAAGAGTAATAAACATTTCAGCCTTGTTATAGACTATGTCATATTATGTTTATTAGTCAATACTTGAAGAAAGACTATAATGGACTTCAGAATACATGTATTCATTTCAGTATTGAACTGAGGCTATTGCTGAAAGATTTTTTTGTTCGAACGATATTCATACGTAATTTCTTACATGTTTTTTCCTAAGAGCAGGAGTTAAATATTTGACCACTACAAATGAGAATCATTTGTCATGATAACATGTTATTTGGTCAATGCATGAGCATACAAATATGTAGTGTCTAGTTCAAGTTGAAACTTTAAAGAACCGAATTGTGTTGATATTTGATGCATAGACCCAAAAGAGGATATTTGATATGAAGGGGATAGTTGAACTAAAGTTTTGTATACCGGAAGTAAATTGACAATTTACTCAAGATTGCGAATGATGAGAAAGTTTAATCACAGAAGCACCATTTTCTGAATTTGAAAATCATTTTTTGTGTGTAACCCTGTTGTACTTAGTGGTGGGCTACTGAATTTTGCTTGAAAACTCACAAAAAAGGGGGTTTAGTTTCAAGAATCGAGTACTGAAATACACAGTTCTGAGTAGTTAGCAGCTCTAGTGCATAGAGGTACATGTAGAATCATTATGTTTGAGCTGATATATTTCGTATTTTCCTTTGGTAATTCACTAGATAACTCAAAGTGTGTAAGGAATGTCAAGGACTTTAACAATCCTTGTTATTGTTATTTGCTACAGAGTGTCAACAATTGTGTTGAGATTTAGTTAATGTGTACTCTATTAAGGCAACTGATCGTTTTGCCCAATGTTACTTTAATTGACCTGTCGGTATACATTTTTAGACGACAAGTGTTTGTGGTGTATAGGCTATAAATTCACCCTAAAGGCATTTACTGTAATGTACTACATTGTGTAAATGAAATTAATGGAATGTGCTATGCAGAGTTGAGTGTAAATTCTGAATGTTTAGTTGTGTTTTATTAACAGAAAAGTTAGACAATTTGAATGGAAGTTGAAGTTATTTGGATAAATGCTTTGCTGTGGCTACGCATTTAAGGGGCCGGGATGTAAGATTTAGAAAGTTTTCTGTCATGACGTCGGTTCAGATTAACCATAATTTCATTTGGTCGTAAGAGGGCGTTTGTAGTTCGCCAGCCTAAAAGTCACGAAATTTGAAATGTTTTGTGGACAGTGATTCCATCAGTAATCCCCGACAATCGAGACAAGCCCAATGTTGTAAGTACTATAAAGCTGTTATTTGTATAAATCAATCTTTAATTGTTTGTATGAGGCCAAAAATGGCACAAGATATAAATCTAGTTTTCTGTAATTTTAAGATGAAAAGTACGTTAAAATGTTGTCTGTGCATGTAGCACCACATATAGACAAACGTAGGATAACGTGTGTGAATGCACAATTTGTGCATATATCAGTTTGTGTTGAGGATAATCTAGATTTGTGTGTAATGAGTGATGATAATTGACATGAAACAAAGAGTATGAATTGTTTTCCTTGGTTATAAAGAATGTCAAGGGTGTAGAAGCAAATAGGAATTTAGTTCAGGAACCAAGTAAAGAGTGTAAGATAGAGGCAGGAAATAAGGCTGGTCGAGGGTTTATTTGTGTATGACGTTAACCTACAAGATAGAGAGGTATGATTTGTAAGGGTTATATTTGTAAACAAAGGTAGAATTTGAGACAGTTCATTAGAATAAGATAAATGAGGCAGTTATACAGTTTGTGTTTGCACAAGTGAGCTTTACTCACATAGTTTATTCTTGAAGTTTTCTTTACTCAGTTATACATATTAAGGTCATTTATGGCAAGCTAGTTGTGCGATACAATAGATGTTTGTTTATTCATGTGAATTTGTACACATGCTTATGATTGCTTGTTTGTTTTATTGATATTACAGATGAACTGCATTTTATGCACGTATCTCAACTTGGATGTCGTCGTCCTTTCTTTAAGCCTACTGTTGGGGTCACTTCAGCAGAATTTAACGTCACACAAAGTTCATAACAGCTTTAGCATTCGTCACCATGAGTCAAGTAGGTGTTGATGATGTCAATCCAGAGGATTCTGCAAGTCAGGTTGGGAAGAGTTCCACCACGTCATCTGGACTTAGGACCAGGGCCAAGAGGGCTGCAATAGCAGCAGAATTAGCAGTTCTCCAGGAAGAACAAGAGATAGAACTCGAAGAAATACGCCTTAAGCAAAGGAAGGCTAAGTTACTCTTACGTGCCAAGCTCAGCGCAGCAGAGGCAGAAGAAGACGTGTATGAGCAACACAGGAGTGGCAGTAAGGTGTCGAGTATAGGGAATAGGAGTTCCAGTCAGCAGAATGTCAAGCAGGTGCATGAAAGTGCAGAGCATGCTACGGAACATCATCATCATGTCAGCAATCATGATGTCAAGGAACCTGCGCTCCTACAAGAGACTATTCCTTTTCCAGCTCAGCAAATGGCTTCATCTCCCATTTCAGGTCAAGCTTATCAACCACGAGACGACCGAGAATTTTATCTGCAGACCCAAGTTCAGCAACAACGATGGTTGGAAGCTATCAGTCTGGCTAATGTAGAGATGATGAAGTTTGATGGGAGTCCTTTGCACTTCCATGAATTTATGATGTCGTTCGACAACTTAATTGGTCGATCTTCACTCGATAGTGGGACAAAACTTATGAAGTTATATCATTGCTGTGAAGGAGAAGTTAAGGGCATCATACAGTGCTGTATGGTCATGGAACCACTGTATGGGTACCAACGAGCCAGAGAGCTGTTGGTGGAACGCTTTGGCAGCAAGTACAAGATAGGAGAAGCCTGGATCAAACGTATAACCACTGGTCCAATCTGCCATGCGAATGACCGGAAGGGGCTGCAGAAGTTTGCAGATGAGTTGAAGATCAGCATGGAAACTCTTCGAGCAATGGATCTACTGCAGGAAATTAGTAGCCAGAGAGAGTTGCTGAAGGTGGCTGAGAGACTTCCATATTACCTTAAAGGTAGATGGTTAAAGTTGGTGAGAGACATCAGACAGCAGGAGCGTTCTCCCGATATCTCGGACATGGCAAGGTTTGTCTCCAACGCTGCTGAGGAAGCCAATGATCCTGTCTTTGGAGATCTGACAGCAACAACAAAAAGAGTTGAAACTTCAAACCCAGCTTTCAACAAGAAGAGTACAAGAAGTAACTACATGTACGCTACAGAGGTAACAGAAGTAGCAGTCAACCTGAAGTGCCTGAAGTGTAGGCAAGAACATTCCTTGTTTGGGTGCGACAGTTTTAAATCCATGGCACCCGAGATGAGATTTCAGTTTGCTCAGGACAACAGACTGTGTTTCAACTGCCTGCAATCTGGCCACACCAGTAGGTTTTGCAGATTGAATAGAAGATGCTCAGTACAAGGATGCCAGAGAAAACACACAAAATTTCTCCATTTTGCACAGGATGCATCTTCATCTGCAGGAAGGATGACAACGACACAGGCTCCAGTTGAAACCCAGAACAACGAAGTCCATCAAGTCCAGAATGGGTTCGTTAAGAAGTGTGTCACAGGGGCCGGAAGGTGTGTGCTTCCCATTGTTCCAGTGAGGGTTAGAGCTCAAGGAGAGAATGTATTTGTGAATACATATGCACTGTTGGATTCTGGTTCAACCAGTACATTTTGTACAGCCACTTTGGCCAGAGAACTCAATGCTACTGGAAGGAAGCAAAGTTTAAGCCTGACAACACTGGAGAAGCGTAATAGCCCCATAGAGACCTCAGTGATTAGTCTGATTGCAGACACGGGACCAGATACAGACTGTGTGAAGCTACCCTGTGTGTATACCAGAGACGCCATTAATATCAGAGACACACACATTGCCAATGTGGATGACATTTCAGGATATCATCACTTAGAAGGAATCAACCTCCCGATCATTGAACGACATGAAGTTGGACTGTTGATAGGGCAGGATTCACCTGAAGCCTTGATACCTATCGAGGTGAGACGAGGACAGCATGGCCCTTATGCTGTTAGGACCAAATTGGGTTGGTCAGTGAGTGGACCTGTAGGTTCCAGTTCAGATGGTGTACCCAAAGCTACATCTAGCTTCATTGACAGTAATGATAGACTGGAGGAACAAGTCAGCCAATTCTGGAAGATCGAAGCTACAGATGTGCTTAAGAAAGACAAGGCAATGTCAGTCAATGACAAGAAGGTAATGGAAATATGGGAGAGGGACATCCAGCGGGAAGGTGCACATTTCCAACTACCGGTGCCCTTCAGAAGGAGACCACCTAACTTGCCTGATAACAAGTGGAGTGCAGAACAGCGTTTGAAATCGTTGGCAAGGAGATTGCAAAGAGATCAAGCAATGTATGTGAAATACAAACAGGGCATAGAGGATCTCCTCAGGAAAGGCTATGCAGAGGAAGTTAGTGAGGAGACTAGGC